TAATGAAACAAGGTGTATGATTTGTTAAATGTAAAACTGATGATCTGCCCTGTAAACTTTCACTCAATTCACAAAAAACTTAAAAAACAACAACAGTCTTACTCAAAAGAAAAAGACTGGAGAATCCAGAGACTAGGGACCACAACAACCCTTCAGGTCTGGAATAGAACTCACCCTTGGGGCCCAATTTTTACTCAAGTAGTATGTATATATATACACAGTGGAGACAACAACACTAGCAAGATATGCTCACCATGAAATGGTCAATCATTCAAGATCAAAAGGGCAACATTTGCATTAGGACAAAGTTGAGAAGGGATGGAAAGAAGGGTGGATTGGAAAAGAACCACAGGGAGAAAGTGGGATAACTGTCATCCACCTTTCCTTATTTTAAAACACTCAGTATCCCCATGTTCTTTTTGAACTACTACCTCTGGGTTTACCTACAAGTTCCTCACGAGCACAATTAAGTGTTCTGTAATATCCAGTCTTTGCAATGTTACCCATAACTTCTCATGATTCACATAGTCAAAAACCTTTGCAAAGTCACACAAGTAAACATCTTTCTGGTATTCTCTGAATTCAGCCAAGATCCATCTGACATCAGCAATGATACTGATATACATCTCTTGTTCCATGTCCTTGTCTGAATCCAGCATGAACCTCTGACAGTTCCCTGTTGATGTACTGTTGCAGTCATATTTTAATTAGCTTTCGCAAAATTTTACTTGAACATATTTTTTCATTTCTGCATCCATTAGGTCACCTCTCTTTGGAATGAATATAAATATGGCTCTCTTCCAATCAGTTGACCAGGTGGCTGTCTTCCAAATTTCTTGGCATAGATAAGGAACTGTCTCCAGTGTTGCATCCTTTTGTTGAAAGATTTCTATTTGTATCCCATCAATTCCCAGAGCTTTGTTCTTTGCCAATGCTTTTAATGCTCCTTGTACTTCTTCCTTCAGTACCATTGGCTCTTGACCATATGATACCTCTTGAAATGGCTCAGCACCAACAATTTCCTATTGGCACAGTAACTCCGTATATTCTTCCCATCTTCTTTTGATGCTTTCTGCATCATTCAACAGTTTGCCCATTGAATTTTTTCTTCAGTTCTGTTAGCTTGAGAAATGCTGATCATGTTCTTGCCCTTTGGTATTGCATTCATCACCAAAAAAGAGCATATCAAGGTCTACCTTGGTGAAAATTTCGTAGATATTATCAAGCACTTTAGACAATGAGTTCCTGGATGGCCAAACTTCGTCTCTCATACTTCGGACATATTGTCAAGAGGGACCAGTCGCTGGAGAAGGACATCATGTTTGGTAAGGTGGAGGGTCAGAGAAAAAGAGGAAGACCCCCAATGAGATGGATTGGCCAAGTGACAGCATGGATGGACTCAAGTGAGGCACAGTAGTGAGGTTGGCTCAGGATCGGGCAGTGTTTCGTTCTGCTGTGCATAAGGTTGCCATGAGTTGGTGCCAACTCAATGGCACCTAACAACAACAACAAAAGTACTGGTAGCTGGGCACTATCTAGTTCTTCTGGTCTCAGAGTCATGACGACTGATGTTCACCTGCTCTACTGGTTCACTGGAATAGTTGATTCCCATTATCTTCAATTTTTATCACTCTTCTTTTTTTTCACATATGGAGAGACCAATAGTTGTGCCATAGATAGCTGCTCATAGATGCTAGTCTTCAAAGTAGGATGTATAATATTGTCTTTTTGGACTGCTATTCCAACTGAAAATGGTGCCCATTGAGATATGGTCCTGAACCCCCAGATCCAGGAACTCATTGCCTAAAGTGTTCAATAATATCTAAGAAGTTTTCATCAAGATAGACCTTGATATGCTCTTTTTTGATGATGAATGCAATACCATTCTTCTTCAGTTTGTTGTTCCCAGCATAGGAAACATGACTGTCAAATGCAAAATGGCCAGTACCAGCCTGTTTCAGCTCACTAATGCCTAGTATATCTATCTTTATGAGTTTCATTTCATTTTTGACAATTTCCAATTTTCCTCTATTCATATTTCATAATTTCATCTTCAGATTATTAATGCTTCTCTTCATTTTGACTTGTGTCCCATTAGCAAATCAAGTTCTCAAAAGCTATGCTCCATCCATGTCATTAAGGTCAATGTAACTTTGAGGACACAACTCTTCCCCAGTAGCATTTTGGATGCCTTCCAAACTGAGGGGCTTATCATCTGGCACTATATCAGACAATGTTTCCCTGTTATTCATAAGGTTTTCAGTGACTAAATATTTGGAAGTAGTCCATCTCTCCTTCTTCCTAGTCTGTCTTCATCTGGAAGCTCTGCTGAAACCTGTAAACCATGCATGACCCTGCTGGTACTTAAAATACTGGTGACATAACTTCCAGCATTACAGTATCACATAAGCTACAACAGTACAACAAAGTGTTGGTGTTATTGTTATGTGCCTTGGAATTGGTTCTGACTCATCGCGATTCTGTACATGGTTTCTGAGGCTGTAAATCTTTATGGGAGCAGAAAGCCTCATCTTTCTCCTGTGGAACAGCTAGTAGTTTCAAATTGCTGACTGTGAGATTAGCAGCCTGATTTGTAACCACTATGATACCAGAGCTGAGTTAATAGTAGTCATTATAATTTAATGGTCAGCATCTTTATGGTGTACGTCAGGAGGGTATCTGGAAAAAGCTCATACTTTATTATGAATACTTATCTTATTTTTCTGACATTATTTTGATAAATCTTTATGAGGTATCACAAAGAGCAAGACACTATCACTGTGTTCTGTAGTGACCAGTCCTTCAAGGTGGGCTTAAAAGTAGTGTTTGTCAGTAGATGGAGCTACAGGGCACCAAAGTACGTGATCGCCATTACTGCTATCTGAAATATTGTTTACTGTTTCAACACTCTTCAAAACATATGGAAAATAACAATTAAAACCACACATTAGATTTTTTCTCTGAGTCTTCATTTCAGCTAGAAGGACTGTACTGTAGCCTGTAAATGGTATGTCTAGAATCTGAAGACAGATTTAGGGTTTTGCCTTTAGTTTTCTAAAATCATTGAGCAAGTTTTCAGACATGGGCTGATTTTGGACTCAATGAGCCATATGGTCAATTTTGAAGAAAACCAAAAAAAAAAAATAATGTACACAAGTCTAACCTCATACTTGCATAGGCTTTGCTCCTTGAAGTTATCACAAGTCTCCTGTTTTTGTTTTCTTAAATTCCTTCTATGGTGCCTTTAGTTATTTGGAGAGAAGTTGTTACAAGGGGGTAAAAAACGCTGACAGACAAACATTGGATTCAATAGATTCATCTTTAACTTTGTCATTTTCTAGTAGCCCCTTTGAAAAGGAAAAAAAAAAGCTTTGAGAGGAAGACGAGCCTAAGTAGGCTCTGAAACTATTGACACACTCTCATACCAAGAGAGACTCCAAAAGGCAAAATGGTTCCTTTCCTGTAGTTGTTAAGTGCCATTGAGTCGGTTCCAACTCATAGCAACTCTGTATAGGGTTTCCAGAGAGCAGCTGATGGGTTTGAACTGTCAACCTTTTGATTGCAGTCGAGTGCTGATCCTAGAGCGCCAAACCAGGTAAGCCCCCTAAATCCTAAAGAGAGTCTTTTAATTTGCTTTGTGAATTTTTCTCTGTCTGATAGAAGAACTACTCTTTTTCTTGTTTCTCTTAAGAAACACAGGTCAAAACTCCTTACCCAACAAACTAATCTCTATGATCATTGTACTAATTACAAAAACTGTACAAGCAATTTGTTATAAAATCAATCTTTCTAATAAGTGTTGGTTTGGTAAGTCAGGGTTTAGGTTTCCACTTTCAGGTGTGGGAAATGGAAATGTGGAGAAGTTAGGTTTCATGATGCCTGCTTACTAGAGAGGCTGAGGTCAAGAGAGAGAAGATGCTTCCCTCACCAGTGGGAAGATATGATTTTCAGGCCTCACTTTCATTGTTGTCTGGCGGAAAATTCTTTGAAGTATCACCACAAAAAAAAAAAAAAAAAAAAAAAAAGAGAGAGAGAGTTTGGGGATTTTGAAGAGAAAATAAAAGCAAGGTTAGCTGAATCCAGCTTTAAAGCTATTGGCTGTGTTACAAGGTCAATCACTGAGGTCTTTCTAGGACCCAGTTTCAAAATCAAGATTTTCTACTATCTGATGAGAGAGACAAGCACCGCTTTTAGGAATAAGGAGTACAGAAGTTTGTCTTGGATTTGCCTCTAACTTACTGAGCAACACTGTATAAGAGAACTGCAATCTAAGTGTCAATTTTCTTCATGTTTAAAATGGCAATTCCTCTCCTATATATTTCACAAAGGGCTGCTGAGACCAAAGTGAAAGATCATTGCAGGGAATTCATTGTGAACCCAGCATCTTGGCCTTTTGTATAACTAAGAATTACAAGTTGAAATAATGCAACCTTCTCAGAAATTCACGTTTCTCTGGAAAAGAATTAAAGCTTTAAAAAATAAAATACTTGCTACAAATCTCAGTGTGGTCTCAGGAAGACAAGCTGCTTACATCCAAGGAGGCAGGTACCAATATCTCAGCAAAAAATTAACTATAGTAATGAATTTATTATCCCAAATGGCAACCCAAGGTATATTAGTCTAAGACCTCTACCTATTATTCTTAAAAAAGGATTGGGATAAAGTGAGCACCTGTGAGAGCAAGTATTCCAGAGAGAAACACTAGTGTTCACCAGCATTTGCCTTCCTCGCGTTTGTGTACATAAATTCAGGGAGTGTTTGCCTCAAAGAATTGGAGTTTTACATGACTAATTTTACTCCAGTCACAGCATTTTGTTGACAGCATTTTAAAGCATTGCTCTATTTGAAGACGACAAAGTGTTATTCACTGAACAATGCCAATAATCAAGTATATCAAATTAAATGTTCCAACTAGAATATTTTGCTTGTGGGGAAAGCTGGTGTTCCTCCAGTGTATAGACCACAAGAAAAAAATTCTTTTTGTGATTAGCTGAAAGCTCCTATAGAAACCCCACCAATTTCTTCACCTCCTGGCATATGGGGAATGCTAATTCTTTGGCTTTCACTGACCCAATTTGTAAAACCTTCTCCAAGTGGCCCTTGTCCATCTTCAGTTTTTCAATTTCACTCTTAATTGGTGCAAATTTCTCAATCACAGCATCTGCCACCATCAGCTTGTATCGAGCAGTGTCGATACCAGCACTCTGGTGGACCACGTCCTCCACGCTGAGTCCAGTTACGGCGGCATGAATGGCGACCATGTTGGAGACACCCTCTCGACTGACTGGATCGTAGGTGACCTCAGAGGTAAAGTCTGTCACAGCTTTGCGGAATTTCTGCACAATCTCCTCTGGACTGTCTGTTATCCTGACTGTAGCCAATTTGTCAGGGTCTGATTTTGACATTTTGGCAGAAGGGTCACGGAGAGATTTTACCTTCTTCATTGATGCTAAATGACATCAACACACATACACCAAAAAAAGAAAGACAAAAACAAAGCAAAGAATCACCAGGAATGTCAGTATCTGGATCTTAAAAATGAATGGCTTATTATTTTTTATCTGATAATATAAATAGCAAATGCTCATTGTGAAAAATTCAAGCAAGGTATATAGGCATGAAAGTAAAGATCATCTGAAATAGCTCCACCTTGTGATAACTACTGTTAACATTTTTATTGATACTATTTTCATGCATCCTCTAATGCACTTTGTTGCTGTTGTTATTAAGCGCCATGGAGTTGGTTCTGACTCATAGTGACCCTGTAAAGCGCTTGCAAGGGACGGCCAGTAGGCTTGAACTGCTGACCTTGTGCATATATTACAGTGGTCATATATACAAGTTATACTACAGTGCCACACCATGACTCATAAATCCACATAAAATGCATAATCTTACAAATGAAGCTGTATCATGCTGTTTTTGCTGTGCACACCTTTTAAAGCAGTGTTATTTTGTTCTCTCTCTTCTCCCTCTTTCCTCCTTCTCTCTGCTTCCTGTCTAGCTTATCACCTTCGCCACCCTCATTGCTCTTCCTGGCCGCTAATAAATTTTAACCATCTGTGGCAATCCTTCCCCTTCCTATTTGATGATTATGTGAGGGAGCTTCAAAGAGTTCTTAGAAAAATGTTATTATTTATTCCATTTTGTTTCTCCATGAACTTTTTGAAGCTCCTTTGTATAACTATATGCCCATACCTACACACACACAAACACATACACAGGGGAGAAGTGACTTATTTAAGAATTAAGATATGTCTCATGAACCAGTGGTATTCAGATTTGATGGTTATTACATAAGCACATACAATTGAAATAGGTGAAATACTAAAAGGCCCAAACATGAAAATATTACTTACCACTAAAAGATGGATTCTAGAGTATGGGGTACGTTAAATTAATTTGTATTAACTGTTGGAATAATTTAAAAATTCATGCTCGTCTTATGTTTCTAAGTTGATACTATTCTTGTTGTTAAGTGCTGTCAAGTTGGTTCTGACTCATAGTGATCCTGTATAGGGTTTCTGAGGAATGGCTTCTGGATTTGAACCATCAACCTTGGGGATCAAACTGACCTTGTGGTTGAGTGCTTATCCTACAGCACCACACTAGGACTCCAAGTTGATACTAGGCACTGTCCATCTTGAGTTCACAGACAGCATTTTACAGAACTATAATATGTGACAAGTTGATACTTTGTTTTGTTGTTGAGTTGGTTCCAACTCATAGTGATCCTGTATAGTGTTTCCGAGGAGCAGATAGTGTGGGTTTGAACTGCCAACCTTGTGGTTCACAGTCCAGTGTGGATCCTACAGCGCCACATTACAAGTCTACAAGTTGATACTAGGTACATGGTATATTTCTTTCAACTGCTGTCAGCTTAATCAAGATGGACAGTGCTTAGGTTCAGCGATCCATGCCCCTGCTACAAATCTGTCTTGCTACCAAAATGTTGAGAGCAATTTACAACGTCTTTCCTTAAGAAGATTACAGACTAGCACAGCCTGAGGTTTAAGATTCAGTAGGTGCGCTACACACTCCATTTCTGTTGTGGATTTAACACTGCAGACTACGAAGATTATCAACTTCCTCTTGCTTTATCTAGGCTGTGATTCAGCAGTTTTCATTCTACGGTTTTTGCTTTCTTTTGTATAAGAAAGGAAAAGTACACTGGCTTTGGAATCAGAAAAGCTAAGTTTGGGGCCCAGATTTGCCCCCAACTTGCCACATAACTTGGAACCAAATTTAGCCTTGCCAAGCCTTAGTTTCCTCATCCATAACAACATGGGGAAGAATTCCTGCTCAATCAAATGCAATATAAATGTTTTTATAAATCACATTAATATTTTATAAATGAAAGTTATTATTATTATTATTACATATCTATTTTAAGGATCCCTGGTGGCACAACAGTTAAGTGCTTGCCTGCTAGCCAAAAGGTCGGCAATTCAAACCCAGTAGAGAGAGTTTGTGGGAAAAAACACCTGACAATCAGTTCCTGTAAAGATAACAGCCTAGGAAAATCTATGGGGCAGTTCTACCCTACGCTATAAGGTTTCTATGAGTCAGATTTGACTGGATGGCACACGATCATGTTATGGTATTCAGTCTCCTTTGTAGTTTTCATACTTTTTCTGTTAGTTTGATCAATAACACAACTAGATGTACCAGTCCTCCATTGCAAGAAAACAGGGATTCTTGTTACAAATCTTTAAGCCTGTCTATGCAAAAACCAAGTTTTGTCCTAACAGAGTTCTAAGCTTCCACCTTCAAAAGATGCCCTGGTTTAACCATCTGTTACTTACTTAGAACGGACTTGGGCACCGGAAAGAACTCGCCATACTTCTTGTTAAAAACTTGTGCTAGATCCTGAACAAGCTCCATGTGCTGCACTTGGTCTTCTCCGACAGGAACGTGTGTGGACCTTTAATAAAAGACAGAATAACTCAGCAAGGCTCCTAGTTACGAATGAAATGATATTGCGAGCAGCTGTGGCTCCTGGGCCTATTTCACTGTTGGCGTTCAACAATGTTCACCAACTATAGAGGGAATGTTGCGACTCAAATCTGTATCTGTGTCTTAGACAAATGACAAAGAGATGTTTGTCTTCTCTAGTTCTGTTTCTTCCATAGCAGAAGAATACAGCCATCAACACCATAGTGACAGGATCTTGCTGGGAGAGAGGAATAATATCTTAAATAGCATCTGCTCTAAGCATAAGTGCATTTAAAACCACACCTCATTCTCTCACCCAGTCAGCACATATCATTCCAGCCCTTGGCCAGATGCTTTCACCTCAGAACTTGTACTCACACTTGAAAGACACCTCCATCCCACTCTCACATCAAAGATGGTGGAAAACTTGCAGGCACATTTTCCCTCTCTATCACAGATCTGGCAGTCCTGGTGTGGCGCTGTGGGTTAAGCGCTGGACTGTAAGGTCAGTTTGAACCACAAGGGCGGCGATTCAAGCTCACCAGCTACTCCTCACAAACCCTATACAGGGTTGCTGTGAGTCGTAACTAACTCGAAGGCACTTAACAACAACAATATCGCAAAGCTATGGTAAACTCAAGATCTCTTTGGGATATGTTAGTCCATTTTCAAGTAAATTTTTTAATCAGAGGGCAGATGGTATGCTACAGAAAACTTAAATGAAGAATCTCAAGAACAATATAGATTGTTGTTGTTGAGTGCCACTGAGTTGGTTCTGACTCATAGCGACTGTGTAGAGGGTTTCTGAGGAGTGGCTAGCGGGATTGAGCCACTGACCTAGTGGTTAAGTATAAAAACAAACATTGTAAGACTTTCATTCCAAATTCATGATAGTTAACTGCCTCTAGAAAGGAAAATGAACAGACTGGGGAAAGGACAAAGAATCCACCAACTTTATCTATAACATTTCATTTTATTAAAAAATAAAAATATATGAATGGGTCAACATAATGTGTTCTGTATGCACAAAGGATGTATGATATCATAAAGAGAAATGAGGGGGGCGTGGTGGCTCGATCCAATACGCACTGGACTGTGAACCACAAGGTCTGTGGTTTGAACCCACAGGAGAAAGATGAGGCTTTCTACTCCTGCAAAGATTTATAGAGGATCACTATGAGTTGGAATCTATGCCATGACAACAACAAACAGAAATGAAGATCTAATATATGCCACAAAAGAAATGACCCTTGAAAACATCATGTCAATTAGTCAGTCAGTCACAATAGGGCAGAGGAGAACTACACAGGATTTCCAAGGCTGTAAATCTTTATGGAAGCAGATTGCCACATCTTTCTCCGAAAGAGCTGAGTATTTTAATCACTGCTCCACCTGAGCTCCTGCCCTGTTTACAGCAGAGAGTAATTAAAAAACTTATTATTTTCTTGTGGTTGTTGTTAAGTGCTGGATGTTGTTGTTAGATGCCATCAAGTCGGTACCAACCCATAG